AAAAAAATAGATCATAACTAAATTTATGCTATTTTTAAGCTAAAATTGTTATACGAACTCTACAGCTTAAGGGATAAAGAAGGATCAACAGCACAATTATCTAAGCAAAAAAGTATTGCAAAATGGTATAAACCACTATCTTCTAATTAATCTAAATCACATCATTAAAAGCTCTTAAATGCAATTATTTATAACAATATTTCCTTTAATTTTGCTAAAAATCCTTATTTTAAAGATTTTCTTTATGATTTAGCTTTAAACTATATATCTCTCTCTGAAAATATGCTACAAGGATATATCTTGACAGCAACATTTTCTGAATATCTTCAAAAAAAGCTAACTATTATGTTAGACTTTACAGATGTCTTAATAGTTGGATGGATATATCCAGAAATTCTATTTATAGCTTTATGATCCTTGAAGAATGTGAAAAATATATTATTGATATTGTAAACTTATCTGCAAATTGACATAGAGCACAATTTTTAAAAGATAAAACTAAAGAAATTTTTACAAAGAACAGATTTCAAATAGAATTTGCTATTGCTTGCGTTACTGACAATCTACCTGTAATAGTGTTTATAATTGGTAATCCACCAGTTAACCAGAAAATGATCATAGTAAAATGTGACTTAAATTACTTATAAAAATTGGAAGTCTCTAAATGTGGCGTGCACACATCTAAAACTTTTTTTTATATTAAGTTAATTACTTTTCTAACTTAAGAGACTTTTGTAGAGCTTGTCAAGACGCATCTAATGGTGGTTAGAGCGTCAAAATCGGCTTGGTGGGTGCCGAGATATCTTTAAAAAACGTTTCTTTTACTATGTAAACTTCTTTGCAAACAATAGTATTGTTTGCAAAGAAGTTTACATAGTAAAAGAAACATTTTTTAAAGATATCTCAGCATCTACCAAGCCGATTTTGACGTTCTAACCACTATTAGATACGTCTTGACAAGCTCTACAAAAGTCTCTTAAGTTAGAAAAGTGATTAACTTAATATAAAAAAAGGTTTTAAATGCGTGCATGCCACATTTGGAGACCTCCAATTTTTATAAGTAATTTAAGTCACATTTTACTATGATCATTCTCTGGTTGACTGATAGATCACCAAATAAGAAATCTTTTAAAGATATAGTATTAAAATTTTTTTTAAAAAAAAAGCAAAAAACAATAATTAGTATTAAGATACATTGTTAAATTTTGGGTTTAATTCTTAAATAAGTATACATGCAAACTTTTTAAAATAATAAGCATGTAGAATTTAAATTTATATTAGACTATGTAATTTTTATCAACTGCCTTGCTTTAATTAGTGTATTAAAATATGTTAAGTGTAATTTAGATTTGCATAAAAAGAGCATCTTTCTGCATTAAGAATACAAAGCAAAATTATATAATTAGAAATTTGCTTTGTATTTTTAATACAAGAAAATACTCTAGATTATACTCGATGTACCCCAATGCACTAATCATGGTAGAATAATTGTTAAAAATAAAAAAAACATGCTAAAATTAAAAAGATATAGTTGTTTTTTTTTTTTTTAATTATATATAGTACTATTTTTTGCAAATCTACTTTATTAAAAGCTGTAATTATGATACAATATATTCTTTTATTATAAGAAAAGTATTTGAATATTGTTCTAATTAAATATTGTTTATATATGTTTAACCTAATCATGAAAGATATAGTTGAATTTACTAATATCGTTACAATTTGCAACAAGAATCAGAAGCTCATAAATTTTTTTAATGCTTCATATATATAGCTTCATACTTTACAAAATTGGCAAAAAGAATATCATATTTCCTACTTCTTAAGTACCTTCTGTGAAACTAGATGGTATTTGCTTTCCAAAGTTTGTTTAGATATATCTACTTTCAAAGAAGGTTTTGGGCTTTGACTTAGATTAAGTGAATCTGACAAAGCAAATATCCAAATATTAAAGATGATATAAAAGCTATTACTAATGACAAGTATCACTTTGCAAGTAATGATACACTAGTAAAAATAATTAAACCTGTTGTAGATGTGATTGGAAGGCTTGAGTCAAGAGAAGCAACTCTGGCTGATATTTTTAAAGAATTAATTTATATAAATTTAGAAATATCTGAGCTTGACATACCTATTGCTGGTTTTATCATATTGCACTGCTTATAGTATCCTCCTCAAATAATATCCTACCACATAAAGTACCTCCTTCTCCACCAATGAAATTGCTGGATTCGTGAATAGTACCCAGTACTATTCAATTTTAAAAATGGTGTTCTTGAATAAGACCCTGTGTACTATAAGCAGTGTGATATGGTATTAGCAATAATTAGTAAAAGAGCAAAAGAATTTTCTAGTAATATTTACTTTATTGCTTTATTTCTTTTTCTGACTTATAAAAATTTAGCTATTTCTAGATATATGAATAGAAACCACCTTATATATAGATGTTTCACTAGTCAAATATAAGAAATTCGACTACCGAATGAAATGGCCGATTTGACCTGAATTCGATAGTCGAATAATTGGCTAATTTTATATCGAATTGTTGAAACAATTCGACCTGAATTCGATAGTCGAATAATTGGCTAATTTATATCGAATTGTTGAAACAATTCGACCTGAATTCGATAGTTGAATAATTAGCTAATTTATATCGAATTGTTGAAACAATTCGACCCGAATTCAATAGTTGAATTATTTCAACAATTCAATATAAAATTAGCCAATTATTCGGCTATTGAATTCAGGTCGAATTAGCCATTTCATTCGGTAGTCGAATACTATAATAAATCGATAAGAATTTGATTACCAAATACTAATATAAAATAGGGCGATTAGTAGTCGACTACTAAACATTCAAATAAAATTAGGTAGTCGAATATTAGGATATTTATACATAATAATATTAAAATAAATCAGACTATAATCAGAAAAAATTTGATATATTTATTAATAATTAATAAGTATAGATACAAATATATATACAAAATAAAATAAAAATATTAAACAGAAAAAATATTAAACAAAAAAAAATATTAAAAAAAAAATATTAAGCTATTCATTTACTTGGTCATTCCACTATAATATTAGAAGCTGGTCTTTTACTACTTGCGTTGTCATCCCCATTTCCACCACCCCCATTTCCACCACTATCATTACTATTCTCACCTTCATCCTCATTATAATCACCATCATCATCTTCATTATCTTCATCATCTTTATTATTATCATCATCTTCTTCTTCATCCTCTTTATCTCCACTAGAATAAATTTCTTCATTTTCTCTACCTGCTGCCCAATCGAGTACACCTTCAGGTCTCTGAACTCTCAACGTATGTGATCTTCTACGGAACATTTTTGAGCTAGCATGATTGTCGGATCGAGGATGTTATGCAACAAGTGAATTAACTATTAAAATAAAAAATAAAAAAATAAATAAATTTTTATAATTAGTAAATTCAATGCCGAATAATATAGTATTTGACCTGTATTCAATTAGATTAAATGCAGGTCGAATACCATATATTAAATATTAGTTGAATTAATGTAACATTATATATTAAAGATTAGTCGAATAATATTAATTGAATTAATATATATAACAGCATATATTAAATATTAGTTGAATTAATTTAACAAACAAAAAAAAATTTATATCTCACTTAACCTCCAAGATAGGCCATGAACATTAACATACAATTGTCCTCTCTCATCCGTAGCCTTACCAGGGTCCGATAGTTCAGGTGAATGGATGTCATTATCCATTAATGAATTTGTTAATTTATCTGTATTATATTTGGAGACCTGGAGATCTTTCTTTCCATAAAGGTACTTGAATGCTGAGGCCCGTCGAGCTATTTTCTGTAAGTTAGAAAAAAAAAATTATAATAAATAATGAAAATTATAATAAAATAAATAATGAAAATTATAAAAAAATAAATAATAAAAATTATAATAAAATAAATAATAAAAATTATAATAAAATAAATAAAGAAAACATGCATCACCTCTCTGGTAATTATTATATATACGTTCATCGAAGTTCTTTGTTTTATCTAGATCCTGACATATAGCCCGAGTGCTACAGATTGATTTGATACGTTGTTGCAAAATGCTTTCCAATTGTGTCTGATCAGTGTTAAACTGCTGGCCTAAAAGGTCGAATAGTGCAGGGATTGTATTTTTACTTAGACGTTCTTTTTGGTTCTTCCATTTTTTGGTGAAGTCAAGTCTATACTCTTCACCTTTTTCTTTAAGAATGTAAAAGATTTCTTTCTAATAATAAAATTAAAAATAAAATAAAAAAATAAATTAATTATTAATTAATTAAAAATAAAAATAAAAATAAAATAAAATAAAATAAAAAAATAAATTAATTATTAATAAAAACAAAAAAAATAAATTAAAATTATTAATAAAAACAAAAAAAATAAGTCAAAAAGTATATACATAAAGTGTTTTTTTTCTTTCATTGTCATTTTCAAAAACTTGTTACACCTCATTACTTGCAGGAGCTTTTTAGCTGTTTTTTGTTGTGCGACAGATAAAGATTCTGATACATTCTTTTCTACCCAATCAATCTGCTCTTGAATCATCGATAACTAGTGACTTAAAACTTGCAAGCTGTTAATCTGATCAACTAAGGAGTTATATGAACTCCACAACACATCCAAACTATTCTCAAATTCTACAAACTTAAGTTCTTGATCCTATAACAAATTCACAGTATCTTTCAACTGCATAATTTTACGATCTTGGTCCCTTTGGATCTCATATAAGGTATCAATCTTACTCCATAGCAACTGATTTTTTAAAATAAAAATAAAAAAATAAAAAAAATATAAAAAATAAAAAAATAATAATAAAAAAAGACAATAAAAAAAATAGTAAAAAATATAAAAAAAAGTAAAAAAATAAAATCAGCATTCGACAGCTATTTAAATTCTACCAGTAGATTTACCATTCTCCAGTCTTCTACTCCTTTCCAATAGATCAAAGTTGGCCAAAGATTCGGTTCATTCTCCATTTCTGCTTCTGCTTCTATTTGTTCTTACAGGAGACCTCAGGATAGGAGTAACAGATTCAACAGGAGTCACATTTCCTGATAATCAGGTCAAAGGTTGAATTGGAGTCAAAGGTGAATTGTTAGGTTGAGGTTGAATTGGAGTCGAAGGAGGTTGAGGTTGAATTGGAGTCAAAGAAGGTTGAGGTTGAGTTAGAGTCGAAGGAGGTTGAGGTTGAGTTGGAGTCGAAGGAGGTTGAGATTGAGGTTGAGTTGGAGTCGAAGGAGATTGAGGTTGAGTTGGAGTTGTTGGAGTTGAAGGTGTATTGTTAGGTTGCTATTGAGTTGGAGTTGTTGGAGTTGAAGGTGTATTGTTAGGTTGCCATTGAGTTGAAGTTGTTAAAGCTGAAGGTGTATTGTTAGTTTGATGTTGAGTTGGTGTTGTTGGAATTGAAGGTGTATTGTTAAGTTGACGATAAGTTGTAGTAGATGGAGTCGGGTTGGGGGTGTTGTTTGTTGGACTCTTTTTGTTCTAGCTATGGCAAAAAAGAATTTAGTGAAAAAAATTTTGAGAAGAGAAATTCAAGAAGTGAAAAAAAATTTAATAAGAAAGGGAGTAAAGAGAAATTTGATAAGAAAAAAGAAATTCCAGAAATTCGATAAGAAAAGAGAAATTGAGAAATTCAATATGAAAAGAGAAATTTGATATGAAAAGAGTGAAATGAGAAATTCAAAAATGAAGAAAAATTCGGTAAGAGAAGAGAAATTATAAAAAAAGAGAAATTCGAGAAGTGAAGAGATATTTGATAAGAGAAGAGAAGAGAAATTTGAGAAGTGAAGAGAAATTCGATAAGAAAAGAGAAATTCAAGAAAAGAAAAATTTGGGAGAAAAGAAATTCGGAAAGAGAAAAAAATTCGAAAAGTGAAAAGAAATTTGGGAAGTAAAGAAAAATTCGATTAGAAAAGAAAATTCAAGAAGTGAAGAGAAATTCAGTAAGAGAAAAGAAAAGAGAAATGCGGTAAGAGAAAAGAAATTTGAAAAAAGAAAGAAATTCGAGAAGTAAAGTAATGTGAAGAGAAGTAAAGGAAAGAAAAGAGAAATTCAAAAAGAGAAGTGAAAAAAATTTTGAAAGAGAAAATTTAGCAAAAAAAAAACTTTGAGAAGAGAATTTTAAGAAGAGAAATTCAGAGAAGAGAAATTTAGAGAAGAGAAATTTAGAGAAGAGAAGAGAAGAGAAGTTTCTCAAAAAAAAAAAACTGTTCGAAATGGTTGTATATATAAATGATTTTTAAATTCCGATCGCTTAACAAAAGTTGACTTTGCTATGAACGATATATTATGAGACGTAAATTTGACGAAAAAAAAAGTAATCTGTTATGTGCCAAAATATAACTTTCAATATGTTATAAGCCAATATATAAATTTGACTTTAAAAAAAAAATCGATCATTATATGCCAATATGTAAATTTAACTCATACTATTGAAAAAAAAATCAATCAGTTATACATCAATATGAAAAAGAAATCAATAACTTTCAATATGTTATCCCTTAAACTGTAAGCAATTCCAGGCAAATTTGCCTGGAAAATTGCTATAAATTTGTTTATGATTTACTTTTTTTAAAATTTAAAATATTTA